AAATTTACTTCTTCCACAACTATATCATGCTGCTGACTTAGTCATACGTTGATCAACCAGTGCAGCCAGACTCTTTTCTTCCTCCCTCCTTTCCAACTGATAAGCTCCTCAGCTTCTGAGCTTTATGGCAGAAATTCTTACTGATTCCTTAGCGCATGACCTCATATTTTGCATTATTAAATTTCAGACCATTTCTGTTACTCAAGCCTCAAGGTCATTCAACTCTGCTATGAGATTCCAAGTTGGCAATGGCTCCCAACTCTATATATCTTTAGCAAATTCCATTACTGTGCTCCAACTTTTTGTGCTAGGATATCAATATCTCAGTCAGTTGTCAAAGAAAATCACAGTATTGCCAAGCCTGGCAGAGCAGCACTCCTGTCACCACATATCTTCTCTGGACTATTTAGGCCTTCCCCTCCCCCCACTGGGGTAAGAAAAAGCTGTGTAAATACTCAGAGTTTAGGGGGTCTTATTACCAGCTTTCAGTTCTTCCCCAACCCAGAGGAAACCAAATGCTCATCCTCTTCCAGCTAAGAGAAGTTCCCTTAGTTAGGCAGCTAACCATTTCCTAAGAATACTACTTTTCTTATCCTCCTTTATCTGCATCTCTCATAGCCATGTCTTCCCATACTCCACCTTTGCAACTTTACCCCTCAAGCAAAGCCTCCAATAGCTGGGAAGCTTCTTCAGGCAGTCATCCACTTTGGCAGCTGCCCTCCTATGCATAAGCCACAGGTTTTTTATGTCGCATGTCACTAACTGACCCATTAGTCACAGCTGGTAAAGTAGCAGACCCATTTACTGGCCCTTTCTTGGCAGTCTCAGAGTGGGGTTCATAAACCCTATCATGCCAGGCCACTAATGAATATATAAACAATACCAACATTTCAAAACCTTCACCACTTAGCTTTTGGAAAACCTTCATAATCACCCATTTTCCCAGGTCCTTATGCCATTTACAATTCTTGTACTAATCCCCATCTACTTCAGCTTAAATAATAGGGTGCTTACAGGCACTTTACTTTCAGCTTGGAACGCCACACCAAGCACAGCACATGCCTAGAGGAGGGATCACGTACGTTTGATCTGGGTCAGCCAGCATCTGTATAGCTCACGCGATTCAGTGGGGCTTTCTGGTGCTTTTATCTAAGAGCTGATTGAATCGAGAATCAGGTATTAAATAAAAGTACCAAAAAGCTCCACTGGAGTGAGCGAGCTACACAGATGCTGGGGAGCCAGGTCAAAAAAGGCGTTGCGTTTTTTTTCCACATCTTTTTTCCACCCACACTGAATCAAATGCCAGAGGAATCAAATCTACCACATTTCCCTTGTCAAAACAAAAATAGTTACCTAGAAGGTTAATTTGGCTTTAACCTTGCTAAATCCAAGCTACATTTTACCCATATTTTACCTTTAAGAGTAAAAGAATACAACAGTAAGAGTGACGATGACAACAATAATAAAAACCCTCCTTAAAGTAATGGGAGGAGGCCAAGGAGACCTTTAAAAACAATGGTAGAACATACAACAAAACTATTAAACTTTTAAATCTACTGAATCTTCTTCCCCTTGCATCCCACATACAGGAAGGACACCCTTCCAGTATACATTTACTGTTTGCCTGTGATTTATTCTGTGTCTGGTGAATGCTGAATACAATTTGAAGAGAGTTTACATCATTGCAATTAATTTTTTTAACATACCTGTTTTTTGCCCAAAAATCTTAATTATTTGCCCTACAATCGTTTACAATCTCTCTCTTTAGCACAGCTGTAGTTAAAGGTAAATCTAATAGTAAGACTTCATTAGTCATCTTCTGTGTCCTTAGTTTTACAAATTCATTTTTTTAAAGAAAAAATGAAGTCATTAAGATTAAATAAAACAGAAGATTTATTTCAGAAACTTTAAAAATAGGATAAATGAGAAGAAAGTTTATAATAAAGTTGGTTAAAATGAAGAGAGAAAACTGTTTTATTCCAAAGACCTGAAACAGAAATCTTGGAAATAACCCAGCAAGGACCCATGGAATTCTTTGCATCTCAACCTGACGGTCATAAGAAAAAACAAGGACAAATGTCCAGGTATAGGCCCTTCCAGAAGGGACTCATTTCACTCATTTGTGATGTGATGCCACAAATTATGTTTGTTAATCTGTCCAGTTAGCTGGGAGCATATCAAGGTATAGAATAGTTATCTTTGGTACGAAAAAAAATCTTCCAACAGAGGAGAGGTGGTTAGCGATTTATTTTCTGAAGCAAACACATAGCTTGAAAATTGCAGGAGGACTAATATAAGAATTAGCCAAGGCTTGTTAAACTATAAAGAAAGCAGGTGCACTTTTATTTACTTATGTAGTCATTTAATTTATAAGCTACACTTTCCAACAAAGGTTCAGGACAGCATTCTGATCCGTGAAGAATAGTCTCTGATGTGTCAGAGGTATGGCTGTGCTTTAGTTTATAATCTGCAAAATATGTTCCTCCACAAATTTTCCTGTAGAGAAGCCAAAGGTCTCCAAAGATCTCAACATGCCACAGTGATTACCTTCCTGTGTTTTTATACTGGCATTCATGTCAGATTTGGGGTTAGTCTGGCGCATGGCAGGGTTTTCTGAACATACTGTTTTTGCTTCATACACTAAAACACTGCAGCCCTGTTCACTTTAAGTCTTGTTTTTCAAATGTGGCATAACAGTGCCAAATCTGTGATAAGATGAAAACAACAGCCATGTTATTAGAGCTAGGATGACACTTTCTGTGCCGTTCAGAGACCTGCATTTCAGCGACCCTGGCAGGCTTTTTCCCCATGAGCTGCTACTCAGTACAAGGTGGCTGTGCTCCCACCAGCATATTTTCTTTAAAAATTCCCCAGCACTGAAAAACTGATAAAACTCTAACACATGAATCGTGACAGAATGTATATAAGCATAAAAAGGGTTCCAAGGAGCTGTCAGGGAGCATTATAACTAGAGGTGCACTGATACATTGGTCCCATATTGGATAAGCACCGATATAAAGAAAAAAGACAGTATTGGCAATCAGCTTTTTTTTGGCTGATGTGGCCAATAATGTGGCCGATAAATGCCCTGTGAATGCGCACAGTTGCAGTGCAGCACACAGGCATCCAACAGTGCAGCCCAGAAGTGTAGAGAGCAGTCAGGTCCGGCTGTTAAGTCTGTTGTGAGGGAAGGGGTGTGGTGGGGGGGCTGCTACTGCAGGCTGGAGCCAGGGGCTGTGCTGGGCTCTTCCTGGCAGGGGGCTGGGCTAAGCTGTGCGCAGGGCAGGAAGCAGTGGCACTGGGAGGGGGGCTATGGCAAATTTTAGGGTGACTGCAGCCCCCACCATAACCCCCCACAGTGCTGCTGCCACCCACTCCGAACACAGCCCAGCCCAGCCCAGCTCAGCCATGCACTGGGAAGAGCTCGGCACCACCCCAGCCCCAAGCTACAGCAGAAGCCTGCCCAAACCCCATGCACAGAATCCAGGGGCACATGCCCCCCCATATGCTCCTGGGGTGCGTACAACAGCAGGAGCAGCCCCCGTGCCCTTCCCCCGGATGAGCCGCAGCTCCGTCCTGCATCCCATCTCAGCTGTGCAGCACCTGCCCCTGTCCCACTCCCTCCCTCACCACACGGGCCTTGATCTGCCCCATGCCACACTTCTTCCTTCCCCCCTTGCCCCTTCCCCCACAACAGACTTATCAGTTGGACACTGCTCTCCAAGCTGCCCAACTGCATATCAGCAATCGGACTGGTATCAGGTTGTGGAATCTCCATCCTTCAAGGTTTCTAAGACCCAGCCAAACAAAGCCTGGGCTGAAATTATATAGTTGGGGATGGCCCTGGTTTGTGCAAGGGTAGGGTTACCATATTTTTAGTATCAAGAAAGAGGACACTTGTGGGAAGTGAGGGGGCTGGAGAGAGTGGGGAGTGGGGGGCAGGGAGGAAAGGAATGAGAGGGGGAAGTGGTATATGATGGGGGGTGATACACCCATTCCCTGCCTCTCACTCCTAAGCCACCCCCCAACCCCGAGCCCTGCTATGCTCACTCCTGACTGACTGTATCCCACCCCCTAGCCCTGCTGGTGCTCAACTCCTGAACCATGCCCTGCCCCTTCCCCCCCCCCGCAAAGTCCTGCTGTTTATGCAGCTTGTGTGCGTGCACACACAAACACAATCTCTCCGAGTCTCTCTGACCTGCAAGCAGCTTGCCAGGGCCCATGTGCAGAGCACATGATCCCCTGACAGCCAACCACCTAGCTCCCCTGCTCCCAGCCCCAAGCAGCCAAGCAGCTGGAAGTGCCTGGGAAATCAGAGGCAGAGCAAAATCCCAGATATTTGCTTGCATTTTAAAAACCTGCATGAACAGGAGGGCAGTAAGCCAAAAAGAGGACAAGTTCAGGAAAACCCAGATGCATGGTTTTGTTACACTACGCTGCATCACAGCTGGACAGCAGGAGAAGCAGCAGTGGCAGCCAGGTCTTAGTGGCCGCCTGCCTCTAACTTGAGCTACGTGATGCTAGGACCCTGCTGGGAAACACTACCCACCTTCACCTTATGGCATGTTTTGTGATATGTTTCAGGTAATGTTCTAAATGGCACAATACACAGTTCATCCAACAGCAAGGAAAATTTCCAAGGCCACATACAAATGCTAAGGGGAAACAGCACACCTGCCATTCATTCTTGTACTTAAGAACTGCAGGTTCCAGCAGCTTCACTCCAATTTTCCCATGAATTAACCAGCACAAAAACAATTCAGGAAACAGATTTTTAGAGAGCCAGGTATACAAACACTTGAATGCTATTTCTAAACTAACCTGATCATAGAACTAACTTCATATAGTGGGCAATCAATCACTATAATTCAATCAATCCCCAAAAGAACATAGGGGATTTGCTTTTACAGTTAGCTACAGGACTGGAGCGACATTTTGTAAAATTAATACATTAAAAAAAAGAGAGAGAATAAGAAATCTGTGGGTCGTGAATGTTTTACCTGGAGAGCGTTTCAGTGAGCTTCACAAAGCCAGTGTACGCCAATTCAAATGCCCCTCTGTGCCTGGACTGCAAGAGATGATGTTTAAAGTAATTTCCTATATCTTTAATCTAAAAAAAAAATAAGGAAGATAAATCGTAATTTGGAGTTAATGCTACTGCTACATTCACACATGCAAAATCCTTTTGAAACTGATGTTTCAATATATAAGCACTACTATATACAATGTACATACTACGTCTCTCAACCTCTCATCTGAATCACAGTAATATTTCTTCAAGTCAGAATAATTCCAAAACAAAAATAACTAGACCATAGCTGATAAAAGGCTTTACTTCAAAAAATAATGAAAACACATAGACAGTTAGCTCTTGCCCCTTACAATGAGGTGTCATTAGCTGAAAAATTATAAATAAATTACATTTAAATATTGTAATTTCAATGTATTAAATTATATTTTGGGACAAGTTACAGGAGGCAGTAGTGCACTTGGAGACTCACTGACTTCCAAATTCTAATCGTATGACACTAGTCTCTTACTGTTTTATTTTGGATATCAGGAAAAGATTAAAGTAAATGTCCTCTAGCCAATAAAAAAAACTCTATAGAAAATCATTTAGGAACAGAAGAGGATCCCTATTATAGTTTAAGTTATTGGCCCTGTACTTCTCTGAATTTTCTAAACCAATTAATTAACTTTAAAATCTTGTGATTTTATTCACCACAAGAAATAACATGCACTTGGTGCACACGGAAAATTATGCATTTGGTAGATAAACCATACTACTTTAAAGCTTCTAAGGAAAGTCAAATAATGGTGCAAAATAAAGTCTCTACTGTGCTCTTTTAACTGTTTAGTAGAGTGAGAACGATACTTAAAGTGTGAGATAGTAAATCTGCATCTTCACATATAAATGTAGCTGATATCAATAAATCAAGTCTAATATCAATAAATCAAATTCAATAAATCAAACTGTAAGCTTCAATACATCTTTTGAAAAAAGGTCTCTTGCAGGATTAAATCTCAGTTTTTCTGAGCTCACTCTCAGTAACACGCAAATGATGACTAAATCAGACACCAAACAGCATTTATTAAATGCATATAATCATAACATTTGTCAAATGACCTTTCATCTTTTCCATTTTTCAGAGTAAACTTTCACATACAACTTCAAGTAAGGTTTGGGACAAAATTAAGTCAACTCAGATTTTGAGACAGTATAAAAAGTACAGTTTAAGTGTACTGTGTGTATTTGCGCACGTGCCAGACATGCAGCATGTATGTGTGTGCACATGTGCACATGCATATGTAGTGCATGTACAAATTAAAACTGCTGACCACAGTCAGAGCAAGAGCCTTGAAAACCAGTTGACAACACATGCAAATGCAGAGTGATCAATCGACTTGGAAAATCTCTCGAATAAAATAATCTGGCCTTTTTAAATTCACCAGATATGATCACATAAGCAGGAAAAAAGCCTGAAGGGCTATTTCTGTCTAGGTCAGGGATTGGCAACATTTCTTGACAAACAGCCACAATCCTCAACTTATAAGATGTTGATGTGCCATGGGCAGACAGCAGGGAAGCCCTGAGGGGCCCAATCCTTGTTGTGGCAATGCAGCCTCAGCCCCTTCCCTGATGTCTGCCCTAAGGTACATGTGCACCGCTACCAGCAACAAGCCAAGCTGGGCCTCTGCGGACCCCAGTGCAGCCACCTGCAGCCTCCTGGCTGCTTCCCTCAGTCAATCTGGAGTCTGGGTAGGCCCCTGATGCCCACCACAAGGCCTGGGCTGCTCACAGCAGGGAGGCTGCAAGCAGCTGCACCATGGTCAACAGAGCCCTGGCTTGGCTTGTTGCCAGCAATGGGTGCACACATGGCAGCGGATGGTGTTGAAGGGGCCAGTGCTGCACTGCCACAACAAAAATCAGGCCCTCAAAGTTCCCCTGTTGTCTGCCCTGATGCATGTGCACCAAGCAAAATGCCTTCATGTGCCACACTCTAGCATGCATGCCAGAGTTTGCCTACCCCTGGTCTAGGTAGTAATAAAGTTACATGACTACATTCAGATAAGTAATTTCTTTTTCTCTAAGACCAACAAAAAACTGACTGGTTCAGATGGAATTCCTGATACCGTGTTTGTAAAGCAGCTTCATCCTTTTGTCCCTTTCGATAAATGTGCAAAGGTCCAGGCACGAGGACTTTGATCTACCAGATTATCCTTACTAACAAAGATGGCAACTGGTAAGCTCTTTGAGCTGCTATGGGAAGACCACACTGGCCCCACATGGGAACTCGGTCTTTAACTTGATTGTGGTCAAACTGGTGACCACATTCAGGGTCAGGAAGAAATTTTCTCCCAGGTCAGACTGAACTGGGGTGTTCTGATAATTCCCATGCAGACTCACCTACAGTGCATGGTACATCCCTTGCCACTTGTCCGGCCATTTTTGCCAGTTTTAATACTCTTGAGCTCCTCTATTTTCATGGAAGAAGCATAACACCATTCTTTCCAAGGTTAGAAAGCAAGGCCTGTCAGGAGCACCCAACAAATCCAATCTTGTATTCTGATGCTAGGGTCCTACAAATTTCTCCCAGCAAATGTTCCTTTAGGGGCAGACACTGACATGCAGGCAATAACACCACTTGGAAAAAAACAGCCAATGACAGATGCCCTAACAGAGAAGGACACCAAAAGCTGCTGGCCACCATTGCCCAACCCCTTGGATATGACATCACATGACTCATGGGGCCATTCCTAAACTGGACTGGCAGCAAAATGTAAAACTGGGGGGAGGGGAGGGGGAAAGCAGAAGGAAAAATCCATCAAGCAATGAAAATGCTGGCATCAAAGCACCAATGTCCAAGTTCAAATCATATCATGGGTCACAGGTGGACACAATGATCTCAGACTAACTACTGTTTATAAGAGTACCACCACATAACTTGGTGCAATTTAACACAATTAGTATAAATTCAACATAGATCCAAAACTAAAAAGAAAGGAAAACTACAAACTGAAACTGAAAGATTGGCAGTGCCATATGAGGACAACTCTAGTTCTCAGCTAAGACAAATGCTATTAAATTTTCCTTAATGAGTTTTAAAACGTACCTTTACCAATTTGTGTAACAGTGAAAAGACGGCTGTGAACTTCATAGGAAGTATTATCATTTACCTGCAATTTACCTGCCAATTACAATTTAAAAGTACACTCAGTTCCAAAATTTGGTAGCATCTCCCATTAAAACAAATTTAAAAGATTACTGATAATCTACACAGGGCTGTCCAGCTGGCAGCCCACGAATGCACACAGCCCATGAGGGGTTAAGTTGAGGTCCCCAGGCTCCTACTTAGCCACTACTCCTCACATCACCCCTTCTGCAAGGGCAGGTAGAGGCTCCAAGCTTATTCATTTTTCCACGCTGTTTAATAAAAATTAGAAGCAGCCCCAGTTCAATGTGCACATTATTAACTTCAGGTATTTAAGGCCAGGGTACATGGGTACAAACACAGCCTGTACAAGGAAACTTCATCTTCCCTTTGTACTGAGAAGTGCCAGTCATGAGTCAGGCAGAAGCTGGGGCAGGGTGGTACCTCGGAGACTGACTGGTTCAGAGAAGCATGAGCTTTCACAGGCAACAACCTACACTCTCAAATTCTATTAACAGATCAAGTAGGTTGTTGCCTATAAAAGCTCATGCCTCTCTGAACTAAGCAGCCTCTAAGCAGACACCACGCTCTACTCTCTTTGTATACCTTCTCTTTGTATGTAGCAAGGGCCTGCCATATCAGAGAGGAAGAGTAGATATCCATTGATCTACACTAGTGATCACTCAGCATGAGCTCACAGAAGTAGCCTAGTGTGCAAAAAAACACAAACATCCTTTCTAAGCCCACAGGAGTTACTACCCAGGCAGCCTTCTCTCTCACACACACCAAGGGGCAGGCTAGCTTAGTAAAAATTTCTCAAAGGGGTATCTACTGCAGCTCATGCGTCCTCATTTTCGCGTAAGGGAGTGGGGCATTGATGGAAACTGGGAGAACTACCTTCATGTACATCAAACGGCTCTGGATCAAGCCCTCAGTACAACCTGTGGATTCAACTCCCATTAAAAAAAGGGGTGGGATTACAGTCACATTTTCAATTGAAAGTAATTATATAAATATGGATAAACACTGTTAAACTAAAAAAAGACGCCTACAAAAAAGAAAATGCAAGTGGCTTGATGTCTTCTTACAGATGAAACATACTGAAACAGTTAAACTGCTGAAGTAAAATTTTACCCTCAATTTACTACTACTGTGAAACTCAATCTTTAAGACTGCAACCTTTAAGGTTCACTTTTCTACCTGCAAAACACAACTACATAGATTATTTATAGATGCACAGTCAAACAAACAGTCTGCATATATCTATTTCCTTGCTGGTTTTATGGAAAATAGAGTCCACTGTTTGAATATCTGCCTGAAACTCACTTTATTCCTCTCTATATAAAGATGTTACATTCTGCTACACAAGAATGACAGAGACTTAACAATAGTTAACAACAGTTTATTACCAGTCTATTAGAGTGGCCTCATTTTCAAGTGGGAACAAGGTAATAGTATCAGGGTTGACTGTAATGCTAAAATACCAATTCCTGTTTGATTTGGAGCAGATTAAGGAACATGATTGTGAAGGTATATGGATGTTCTATCATCTACACTGTACAGCTTTGCAACAGTGCAAGCACAGCTGTTAACCAGCTGAAAAAAGACAATGCATGAATAAAAATATCAGCATTATTTCCAAGGCACTGCATGAGATACCATAAGAAAATCAGATCAGCAGCATACTATACTGTTATTTATTTTGTCCTAGAATGTTGCAACCCCTTAGGAAAAAAATAAATATTTATTTGAAAAAGGTTAAACCCAAAATCCGTGCTGCATATTTCAGTCCTCCATGCTAGAAAACTGGTTTTGTTGAAAGCACAATGAAACAAAAAAAAAATCAATTAAAAACAGAAGAAGTCCAATAAATACAGAATATTCCCAAATGAAATGCTTGTGGTAAACTAATTTCTTGCAAATTATACTCAAGTCTCTCTTGAACGGTCCCAGACAGGGCACTGACTTTTGTGGTATTTAAATATAAAAATTAGGCGAAGTAGTCAAACAAACACAAAATATCTGTAATTTTATCAACCATATTATAGAAAACATATGTAGAAAAAACAATATATTTCACTCCCCAGAATTACTGAATATTGAGTCTAAAAAAAAAAAAAAAAAAAAAAAAAAAAAAAGCACAGTTTTAACCAAAGTCAAAAGTTCCCAGTTTCAAAGTGGAAACAAAAAAACTGGACTGAGTCCAGAAGCACTGAATCAGCATTCATACTTCCAAACTGATATACACAGAACTAACCCCCAATGGCTGGAATTTCATCCAAGAAGCCTACGCATGCTAAAGGTGCTAATACTACTAAATTAGGTTAATGTTTCATGGGTTTCTGCTATCAGAATATTAGTTACATATGACTTACTTTCTTTGTTTTGATTACTTTAGCATACCAATTTGTTGAAAATAAATATTGAAAATAAAAAAAATTACATTACTTTAGCTAAAAAAATAATAGAAAGTTCTACTGACACCACAGTCAATGGTAAATGAATGAATACAATATTTCCATACTCTCCCTCTTCCAGGAAAATTTAGTAAATTTAGTAACCGTTTCTAAAAGTTTTATAGCAAAAAAAGTGTTCCTACCTGTTCTTCTGTTATCAATCCATCTGATGATTCTGATGTAGCCTTTAAAGGCAAAAGTTTACACAGCATCCCTAAAAGTAATGACACCTCCTTCATGCTTCTCCAGCAACATACCAATACCATCTGAGCTGTTACATCACATGTATGCTCTTTACCTTTAAAAACAAACAAACTCCATAATAGTTAGGGAGTAATGAAGTTATGACACAACATTCATTTTTTACTATAATTTAGTTTGAGAGTCTTAATTTAATCTTTTTTTTTTTTTTTTTTTTT